TTAATGTATGTAAGGAGAGGTTGAAGATAAAGTTACTATAACAAGCAGTTTTCTTGTACTAAAGAATGCGCGGATACGTTGTGGGAGAAGCTAAACCATCTCATTTCACAATAAAGATTGGGCCGAGCCTAACCCTGTAAAACAGGTCGTTTAGAAGTGTCGGAACAACCTGCATAAGTAATCCATTTATTGAGTACTTCGTCAACTTTTCCAACAATCTAATTACGTGTATTGACTTCAGTTGTATCAAACCAGTAAAATAGACCATTTTTCTTGATCCAGTAAATGATAATGAGATTATGCAATTCTTCAAACAAGTGTCTAATATGACCCAGCGAAATATTGATGATCTTTAACTGCAACTTCTAAAATCTATTTTTTACATTATCTTGCCCTGGTAACGCACATTTTTGTTCGTGCTTTGTTGAAGCAGTCTTTTCTTCTAAATTGCAAGTTCGTCGCCTATCTGTGATTTTCAAAAAAGGCGTCAAGAACGACTTCGGTTACTAGAAGCCCATGGATATGTTCAATTTCACTGTTTTTCTAAATTGTTTGAAAAGCTTTACTCTCGGTGAAGCAAATTTGAGAGAAAACATCACATCTTGACAAATAATCAATATTGTTTCTGTGAACATCTTTTAAGACAATGTGTGCTTCTAGAACGAAAAGTTACGAAAATATACGTAAAAGACTTGAAGCAAATCAAACAATATTTGGCATTTCGTTCAATTATAAAAATGAATCGACTTTTTTGATCACACTCCAATAATAAAAAAATCAGCTTTTAGAGTTTTGTTGGCACGTAGAATATTTACTGAAATCTAAACTTAAAAATTAATGCAGGCGTTCTACATTGATTGCTTCACATCAGAGATGGAGGACGTTCAATGCGGACTTCCACAAAAAAGTATATTGTTACGTGGTGGATGTGCCGGTCTAATAAGAGGAAAAAGGAGAATGGAGGAGAGTGAAAGAAGAGCATCTCTCAGTGGTTTGGTCAGGTATGTACTAGCCACCCTAGTCTTCTATACCCCAAACGGCAACTGTGTTCAGAGTGTAAGATTTCTAGCACTTTTTCTGTTTTAAGTACGTTATCTTTGTTTTTATCAATATACAATATATGAAATGCCTAAATGTTTTCTACGGATTATTCTTGGCCAGTCGCCATAAGTGGGTATGAGCCATGGTAAGGGGTATCATCATTATCATCATATCCAACAATGGATTCGCATACAACCCGGTCAATCCCGGGAATTGCCTATGAGCCTTGAGATATTTTTAGCAAGGGAAACAATTGCGACCAAGACACTTAGTTAGTTTGTAGCCTGAAATCCGTGGCACATACGCACTCGGGAGGGTTGGCCAAGAAAACATATAGTATCGTACGAACCGAAACTTCACTATCGCTTACCAGAGAAAAAGATGTGCAGGAAGGAAGGCATTATCAAAAAATTCAGAGTGTGAGAAAAGAGAAAGTAGTGACTAAGTAATAACTTTCACTTGATTTTGAGAGCCAACCAGACAATCGAGTTTGCCAAACCCGATTGATTTGGCATAGTGAACTTTCGTCCAAACTCAGTATATGGTTCAGAGCAGATTTCTCGTGGCGAAGCAAAGCCTAGTTCCTTGCATCGCGAGGATGATCACCACCGTCTTCGTAACTTTTCCCCGGAGGAACACGCCTTCACCGCTGGACGTTTTACAAATAAAATTTGTACAAAACAAATTACAATGCAGAGATGTCAGCAAAAGTATGACCTGCAATGGTGCTGGTGTCTAGCTGGCAAGCTTTACCAGCAGCAAAAAAAAAACGTCTTTTCCCGGGCTCTCCATTTATCCCCCCGGCCTCGTTGCCCGTGGCCCTCGTCGACACCGGCCAGGCAGTTTCATGGAAGGAGAAGGGTAGGCAGAAGAGGCTGCAGGGCGCCGTTTCTCGGGAACGCGTCAAGCGAGCGCGGAAGGGATTGCCCCGCTGAGCCGGTTCCGTTTCTCGGGAAGACATGTTACCAAGAAGGAAGGGGGCGGGGGATGTTACGCCGAGCGCGACCTTACAGGGATGCATATCTCATATTTATTCACATTCTAAAAACTACCTCCTGACTCCGTTTATTGAGTATTTTTAAAGTGCGCATTATGTGTAAATACGTTTATTGTATTGAATGAAATTACTCACCGCATCAAATACATCTCTCTGGCATTATCCCAAAACAAAGTCACCAAAATTTAGAAGAGTTTCTGTGCTTAAACTTAAACCTAGCTTCGCAAACGAAATAGCTAGTAGTATTTTCATATTTACTGCGTAGTTACGACATAATACAAAATAATGTTCAATAGTTTCTGATTCTTCTCAGAACGGACATAGGGGGGGGGGGGAGAGTCGGACTAGCTTTCTGTAAATAAAAATTTGATAAGGAGACATGGCACAGGATTCTGGAGATAACTTGAAGTTTTTTCGACTGAAAATTTGTCTATTTTGTAATATTCTCTAAGCTATCTGTAAAAATAGTGACTTTTCCTTATCGAACCCCTGCTAGGTATTCTAACCCAGGAAGTACTGATATTACTGGTCCATCAAATATTTTTCGCGCCAAAGCATCTGCCTGCTCATTTATTTGTAACCGACTGTGAACTTAGACCCACACTAATTTCAGGACTTTTAGTATCAACGGTGCTAATGTGCGCAACGAATCGAGGGCTCTAGGTTGTTCTGACGTTGTCAGAGCTACACACACCGAAAGTGAATCTGTAAAAAGGATTTCCTTGGTTTCGGTAATTGCTAAAATAATGATTCTAGCTTGACTTCAAATATAGGAGTGAAATATGAAAGCCCCACTGAGAAAGGCCAGCCATGGAAATCAGAGGCTATTCTTAAGCCTGCCTTTTCATTGCTGACAGAAGCATCTGTGCTCTTATATTATGTGAGTCTGCATGTACCAGGTAATATTTTAATCTATTGTTCAAAATCTAAGTATTTGCAATTTTGGCTTGTGGGGGGAAGATTTCATCATACTCTATCTTAATATTGAGGGTCGAGGAATTAGTTTCAGTTACCGTTTTAATGTCTAGATTTATGCAATCCAGGATCTTTTTAACAAAAAATATCTGAGTTGTACGAAATTGCGGTCATTGAGCAAGAAACAAGAAGTCAGGGTCACTGATAAAGGCATACGTACTCTGATCTTTGAGAAGGTAAGCTGTAAAGCTTTAAGAAGGTTTGAACTGTTAGGATGCGAAATCAATAAAGGAGTGTTGGCAAGCGCGCTTCTTCATAAATTACATCGATCGTCACGAACCTGTGAAGTCCCAGAAATATTCACAGAGCTTCTCGCTCTAACATTATTTGAGGTTTCACTTAATAACCAGCTGCCCCCGAAAACAATAGGAACCCGAATTCCAATATTGGTTCATGTACGTTTTATATGCTATTAACATCTTGTCTCGGTGCAGCCCGTATTTTCTGTTATTAGCCTGTGTAATAAACCTAAAGCCCATTGCACCTTTGCTGCAATATATTTTATGTGTGGGCTCCACCTAAGCTTTTCATTAAAAATAATTCTTAAGTACTTGACTGAATCTACTTGTGGAATAGGTTCTGGATTATATAATACTGAAATTGAAATTGAATCTGCTATAGAAAAGATGAAAAGCGCACCTTTACTGATATTTAGTTTTAGTGAAATTGACAGCCACCAAATTACTCTAGTATTATATATCTTTGCAACGGATACTCCAATGAGATTGTCGACTTCTTCTCCGGCCCCGAGGAGGTAAAGTCAAACACCATCCCCCTTCGAACCAAGCAAAGGGGGGAAAACACGCCCAGTTCATTGTACGGTCAGGAGAAGTACACACATTACTCTTATGCGACAGCATGGCACATTTAGCATAGTGTGATGACGAGAAATCCCACGCGCAGATTCGATCCATCGGTGTGGCAAGGTTCACATTTGACTCATCAATAGCTGCTAGCTCCCGGGCAGGCCACGAAGACACAAATGCACCAAGGAATGTGGGAAACGTCCTCGTGAACGTAGGCCAGACGCTCGGTTAATTGTTTGGTGTTGTTTGACGGCCGAAGGCACGCAGATATCGCCCCTTTGGGGCAGAGTATCGGTCAGGCGTGTCTAAAGGTTTTTTGGCGAACCAGCCGACGACCCTGCAGAATTCACCGTACAACTACTGTGTTGACGCCGCTTCGAAGTGTCACTTTACGTTGATAACGACTATTGCCGGTCGACCACCAAGGCAGCGGCACAACAGTATCTGGCTGGTGCCTATTGAACAGATCCGTCAATTCACTCCTAGCTCCTTGTATACTTTTGAAATAATCCAAATACTCAACTTCAAATGTGGATATCACGAAACATGCTTTTTAGAGCTTATGTTATTTTTTCTAAGCGACCACATTATCTAGAATCGTAGTTTTCGGCTAGTATTTATACAACGTAATAGAAAATATACTGAATCAGAATTACAGTCATGTGAGGAAGTGCTTTCAGCCACACGACATCTATAAACACGAGATTAAAATTTATGCTGTAGCTTTCTTTCCCTCGCTCTCGTGGCGAAACAATGCGCAATACGTTGTCAACTACATCTGAGAAAGCACGTTTCAGTTTCGTGTTATACCGATTCCAATGACATGTATTTTTTTCTTTTTGTTAGGCTAAATGATATGAAGCTAAGAGATAACGAAGATCAGAAAAGCATACGAGTCTTTATTTCAAGTCATAGAGTGGTGTGTAGTAAATACGAGAGGAAAGTAGAATGAAGATGAACGAAAGAGCAGCTCGCCGGCCGAGGCGGCCAATCCCAGAACCTAATATCAAAATAAAGCTACAAAGCACAACATCCAGTCTTATAATGAATACATGTGACAGCTATAATTGCCAGTGAGTGTGGAACTTGATGCTTGAGCAGCGGCGAAGTCTCACAGTCACGTGAAAATTTGTGGTTGAGTAGGTCTTTCTTGTTAGAATACTATAGCATGCGGGACTTACCGGCTTTATTGTGACGTTTTTGTACTGTGATGCTACGTAGCCGCACATGACTCCGGCAATGTACGGGCCAGCATGCGTGAAGGGCCGGAAGTAGATGAGCTCCAGCGTGTCTTTTACTCTTCTGGGTGCAATGAAAGAAAAGAAATGACTAAACGAGCATTTTTCGCGCAACACGAGCATGCGTATACTTACTATCAAGAGGTAATGTTGGGCATCAAACTGATTACGCGCAATTTATAAGAACACACTTCTTTGCAAATAGTCAGAGGACCCTTATTTTCGCTTACAATTATACGCAACGTGGATGAAACATAGAAAGTACTGCACCCTATCGCTTAATACTGTATAGACTCTGTGTGTTCAAACCAATCCTATTGTTTCGTACATGTTTGTGGCACCCGCAATTTTATCTGGAAAATATCTTTTCTAAATTAGGATGTTTCACTTTGTTATTCAAGCAGCCATCGATGGTACCCTGCAAATCATTCCTAAAGAAGGCTTTATGAAAGCGTGATATACAAGTGAGCTAATGCTTTAGAATTAGTGAGTGAGTGAGTGAGTGAGTGAATGAAAAAAATATTAATTGGTACATCAAAACTTGACAAAACGCGCACCCGACTAATCCTACAACGGAACCGACAAGTCTAACCTGCCGGCTCAATCACGGGCACGCTGCACGGTCAGGATTTGGTCTTTGAAGACGGATCTCCGCAGGAGTGTGTCCCACTCTTGCTTGTTGAACGTCGGGCCCAGCGAGTCGCACTCCCAAAGCACATGAGACAAAGCAGCAACCCCGACACATGCCGTGCAAGAACTATTCGTGTAAATTTCTGGATAGATACTACTATGGAACGCAGGCTTAGGGTAAGAGTTGGTTTGCAGACGTCTGAGTGTGACCACCTGCAGTCTAATATTTAGCTTGGTGGCGGGAAGAGCCTTCTCTTTTTTAAAAGAATTTTGTTATCTGAATGTGCGTGCTAGGCACGTCCTTGTGTCAAAGAGCAAAGTCACTCTATCCGAAGGCAGCGCCGTCAGTAAAGCCACGCGCAGCCGCGTGGGCATACTCGTTAAGGTTCAGAGGAACCCACTTAATAGCATCGACGTGAGCAGGGAACCAGAAGATGCTGTGTCTGGCGCTGTCACTGTTCGTAACGCCTCTAAGAATATGAACTACCTGCCGCGCTACCCGGCCTTTCTGAAATGCCCTGACGGCTGTTTTGTAGTCGCTATACATGCTGTCTTTCTGACTGTCTTCCATGGCGAGTGCAATGGTCGCTTGCTCGACCACATCGGGGTCCATCATCTGAATCGACGCACAGTCGATGATTCTCCCTTATTTCTCTGGGTAATTATGTGTTACCAGACAAATTCTTACCGGGGGCGAGTTCGCGTTCTTTTATAATCCGCGTTTCGGCCTGTGTGGTAGAGATCCGAAATAGCTAGGCCCGTTCCTGAGCCTCGCCTATCTCCTCCATGATGTTGCGTATACCAAGCCAAAGGAGGTCCTCCATGTGCGTTCTGACGTGCAGCCCGAGGGCTCTCTAGACGATTTTTCGAATGAGGGCATTGAGCTTTTCACGCACTGCGCTGGGCCACGCACTGCGCTGGGCTGGTGGCCATGCACCATGTTCACTTACATGGTGCATGGCCACCATGTAAGTGAACAGAAGCAGCACAAAGGCGTTGATTAGCCAAAGCAGGTTGTCCTCCTTGATACCCTGACATCTAGAGTATAAAGTTGGGCATGTTGGTAAGACATAATTAATCGACGTAGCGCGTTTTGAAACATAGGACAAGGGAAGGGACAGAAGGGAGCGCTTCTGTCCTTCCCTTGTCCTAAGTTTCAAAACGCGCTACGTCGATTAAGCCTGACATCTGTTCGTGACTCTTCGAAGGAGGCGAAAAGAGTTCTCAGTTTTTGCAGTGATCTTGCGCAACGCAGTGCCATTGCCGCCCCGTGATTCGATAAACATACCTAGGACTCTAATGGTGTCGACCCTAGGAATGGGGTCACCACTCCACGTGAACAGGTGAATGTCACTTTCAGAGACCAGCGTCCAACCCTTGGGACTGCCCCCTTTTTGCAAAGCAGGAGTTCGGACTTCGTCGGGGAACACCTGAGTCCAGTAGGCAGGAGGTACTGTTGTGTTACGCCTACGCCCTCTTGCATGACACTTTATACTTGCCCTTCACTACCTCCGGTGCACGAGATCGTGATGTCGTCGGCGTAAATATTGTGGCTGAAAGTTTTGACTTGAACCAGTTTTCTCGAAAGGCCGACCATGCAGATGTTGAACAGATGGACAAAATGACCGAGCTTTGCGGTTTACCCTGCGGGCTCAGCAGCATCTCCTTAGAGACATAGCCACCAATCCACAGTTTCGCTTTCCTTCCGTTCAAGAACAAACGGACGTAGTTATACAGTTTGGGGCATAGCTCGACATCCGTGGCGAAGCCAGGATGCAGGAGTGGAGAGCACTGTCGAACGCCTTCTCGAGGTCGACTCCGAGCAAGACCCTGGCTCCCTGGTACTGATGTCAATTATTGGATGCTTGATCAACTTCATGGCATCCTGCGTCGACAAGCCCCGCTGAAAATCCAGCCATGTTGTGCGTATAGACGTTGTCTTCCAGATATCGACTTAATTGGTTAAGGACGACGCGCTCCGCCACTTTCCCAACGCAGGAAATAAGAGAGATGGGTCGCAGCTTATTATTATTCAGAGTTTTGCCTGATTTAGGGATCAGGACGGTCATGGCGATCTTCCAGTTTTCTGGAACGTTGCCGTTTCTCCACGTCTCGCTAATCATCTCTGTGAGTTATTCGACTAAACCACCACCAAGACTTTACAGCATCTTATTGGTGATGCCATCGGGACCTGGCGTGGACTTGTAATTAAGTGCAAAAATTACTTGCCTGGGTTCCACCATCGTGAAGTTTTCGTCCAACTCCGGACGGGCCGGGCAGACGCAGCAGATGATGTTTAACATCCCAAAACCACCATATGATTGAGAGACGCCATAGTGGAGGCCTCCGGCAATATCGACTACCTGGGGTTCTTTAACGTGCACCCAAACCTCTCCATCGGCGATGCAGCCGCTGCCGCCGAGATTTGATCCCGTGACCTGCGGGTCAGCAGCCGCGTACCTTAGCCACTACACCACCGCGGCGGTGCTCTGATTCGACCTTGCATTGTCCTCATTGATAAAATGTTTGAGCAAGCGCAGGGACTTGCCATTACGCATCTGGCCATCGATTGAGTCACGGGACTCGTCCCATTGTTGCTTGCAGAGGATTTGACAGCGATCCTTGATAGTGTTGTCGAACTCCGAGATTTTTTTTCTTTTTAGGATTCGGTTCAATTTATGTGCCTTCCATCGGAGAGCAGTGCATGCTTGGCTTCAATCAGATGAGCTAGTCTGCTATCCATCATCTCTACCTCAAAGGTCGGTGGCGATTTTCTTGGTGGGTAAGTCCGTATTGCGTTTAAATAAAGAGGGTGCGAGCCGTATCTCTCATACTTTACTAAACAAAGTATGCATGTAAACAGCAACGGTTAACGTGTAGTTATTGCATAGCAGTTAACATTGTTGCAAGTGGTGTGTAGTTTACGAACGAGCGCCAAGACGAGCTCCCGAAGCCCGCAAACAGGCTTGGGCGCCTTTAATTTTCATATATAGCGCTCCATCTTCCCGGTAGCTTCGTCAATCGTTGCGCCACACCGACGTCACTATACGCGACATGGCCCCAGATTTCACTTCGAAAAGAACGCAGTGGGAGTTGGCAGGCGCAACAGCTGCGGTTGCAAGCTTGGCTTCACCAAACTGTTGCATGATCGAGTACTCCAAAAGTAACAAAAACAAAACAACTATGTCGTTATATATAGGCCGCCGACGTGCCATAGAATGAGAGGTGACTTCAATCATGATACGATGTAAAATCTGGGCAGCAGTGCGTGTCAACGCTGAGGAAGTTAGGCTGAGAAAGAGACAACGGTTTCGGCAGACATTCGCTTAGACTGTCGCTACTAGATTTCGAGCAAAAACGCTTACAAAATCTCTCTTGCGTGTTGTAAAAGCACAATCAGATAGCACAGGTGGGGAAGTAAATAGAAAAACCAAGCAAGCACCAACTATATGAATTTCCCCACCTCTGAAACACGTTTTAAACGGAGGCAGTAACTATATAATAACAGAAAGAACCAGCATTAGTGCAGAAGCTCTCTTGTGTATTGACTGCTACTTGAAGAAGACACTCTTGCGATATATATATATATATATATATATATATATATATATATATATATATATATATATATATATATATTGAAAGACGCAGGCAGACTAGGTACGGCGAGCAGGCAGGGCGAGCAGAAGCGTTTATTCTGCGATGTCTGGCTCCGCTCAGAACCACACCAAGAGAGAGGACGATGATGATGGGTATGTGCAAGTGAGAACGATGATGATGGGTATGTGCAAGTGAGAACGATCAAATGCTTGGAATGTGCTTACAATTTCCCCCCCCCCTCTGCGAAGCGGCCAACCTGGCCGCCAGTCAGAGATCGGCCGAACGAGTAACAAAAGGCTTCATGCGTGAGACGTGAACTATTTCCGTGCTGCGCAGACGGCGGTCAGTGACAGACTGAAGCGGGGTGACGAGGTAGTTAACTGGAGATGTCTGTCGTACAACGGTGTATGGGCCAACATACCGGTGAAGAAATTTCTCGCAAAGGCCCGACGCTCGAACCGGGGTCCATAGTAAAACCTTATCGCCAGCATTAAAGGCCACGTCGCGTCGTTTTTTATCACAGCGATGTTTTCTCTCCTTTTGGGTTGCTTCCGTGTTTTTGCGAGCAATTTCACGGCATTGTGTGACTCGGGCTGCGAACTCTTCTGGGAGCGAGGTGCTGCTTGGAGCCGGTGCAAAGAAAAATGCCGTGTCGAAGACCGAGGAGGCAGATCGGCCGTACACGAGAAAAAACGGGCTGTAGCCAGTTGATCGTTGTACCGCAGTATTGTATGCGAAGGTGACAAACGGTAAAATGTTATCCCAATTTTTGTGGTCAGGATGCAAGTACATCGATATCATGTCAGAGAGTGTTCGGTGGAAGCGCTCGGTAAGGCCATTCGTTTGCGGATGGTATGTAGAAGTGGTTTTATGGACTGTATTGCACGCCTGCAGGACTTCATCCAGGACCTTGGAAAGGAAGGCTTTGCCACGGTCACTCAAAAGGACGCGAGGGGCTCCGTGGCGCAAGACGATGGAGTTCAAGAAAAAATTGGCGATTTCTGTGGCGGTAGCAGAATGAAGAGGTGAAGTCTCGGCGTATCTTGTTTGATGGTCGACTGCAGTGACGATCCAACGGTGACCGGAAGGTGTCAACGGCAAAGGACCATACAAGTCTATTCCGACAAATTCGAATGGTGTGGTGGGACAGGGAAGAGGCTGAAGGAAACCAGCAGGCGGGGATGTGGATCGCTTGCGGTGCTGACACAACGCGCACGAGCCCACGTATTTGGCCACCGTTGTGGACAAGCCAGGCCAGAAGCAGCGCGTCTTGATGCGATCGTAGGTCTTGTGGAAGCCTAGATGACCGGCAGCAATATCATCGTGGAATGCTTCCAAAACTCGAAGACGAAGGCAGCGGGGAAGAACTGGCACCCACTTGTTACCGGTGGGATGGTAAATGTAGCGCTTAAGCACACCGTCCTGAAGGCGAAATTGTCGAAGCTGGCGTCGCAAGCGGCTGTTGGGTGGTTTAGTGACACCGCGAAGGCGATCAATGAAAGACCGACAGTAGGAATCTGCCAGCTGAAGTGAACGTAAATCGGAGTTCGAAGATAGCTGCATTGGATCCAGCGATGCGAGCGATACGTGTTGTGAGGCAAGCTGGGTGTCAGAGTCATTCGAACGCGATGCGGTGGACGTATTGTCACGAGAGAGCGAAAGTGGGCACCGGGACAGCGCGTCGGCATCATGATGACATTTGCCAGACTTGTACGTAACTGTAAAGTCGTACTCTTGTAAGCGCAGTATCCAGCGCGCAAGACGTCCTGACATATTCTTCATTGATGAAAGCCAACAGAGTGCGTGGTGGTCGGTGATGATGGTGAAGTGCCGACCGTAGAGATACGGGCGGAATTTCTGTATCGACCATACGATAGCCAAGCACTCCTGCTCCGTGATGGTGTAATTCCGCTCAGCTGTTGACAGAGTCCGGCTAGCGTAGGCCACAACCTGCTCTTTAGAGGTGGAATCACGCTGCAGAAGGACTGCTCCAATGCCTTGTGCGCTTGCGTCAGTATGGAGTATGGTAGGCGCTCTCTCATCGAAGTGGCGCAGCACTGGTCCGGAAGTCAGGCGTTCTTTCAAAATTTCAAATGCAGATTCGCAGTCGTTGGACCATGAGAAAGGAGCACCAGTGGCCAATAACTTATTTAGCGGAGCCGCTAAGGTAGCAAAGTTGCGTATAAAGCGACGAAAATAGGACGCGAGACCAAGAAAGCTGCGCAACGTCTTTTGGTTGGACGGTCGAGGGAACTGTAGCACAGCTGCGATCTTCTCGGGATCTGGTTGGATTCCGTCTTTGGAAACGACGTGACCGAGGACTTTGATGCTTTTGCTGGCAAATGTACACTTCTTTGTATTTATCTGAAGGCCAGCCTTGGAGAGACATTGTAGCACCTCGTCTAATCGTTGAAGATGTTGGGCAAAGGTACTTGAAA